CGCATCCCATTCGTTCACTTTCAACTGTAGACGCTTCCAAACATTACGATGTAGTTGTGGTCGGTGGTGGAATGGTGGGGTTCGGTTTCGCGGCAATGGCTGGTAAAATATATTTAAGTTGTAACTTCTCAAGCGACTCACCCCTTTCTCCGAAGTAAACGCATTCTTCTTCTGGAATCCGGCCCCAAGACTCAATACAAGAAGGAACCAAATCATCGAAATCGCGTTATCGCGGTCACACCTATTTCACGACGTTTGTTTGAAGGTATTCTTTTCTTTTTTAGTTTATCTTTAGGCGTTGGCGCATGGAAAGCTATACAGGATAACCGATTTCAGCCAATAAAAAGGATGAAGGTATATTAGGATTATTAAACAAATTTTCCCGAGATTTTGAATGTTAGACCTCGCAATTATCTACGAATGAACAGTTGTATAATCTCTGGCCATAGTTAATTACTGGAGTAATTAATTTTTACCGAAAGCGTTTTTACTATTTTTCGTCATATTTCGATCGTTTCGCACGTTAAACTTCTATTCACATCAGAATTTAAACAAAAAGCACCACCACCCTTATTTGCTTTTCGCGTAATTTTTGCCATTGCCATCAGAAGTTCCAAAACGATGCTTTCACAGAAAACTTTGGGGACACACTAATGAGCCTAACCCGTCGCAGATGTGCCACACAGCGGCAGGATATGGGCAAGGCTAGTCTCTGAGCCTCAAGACAGCGCATGTGCGGTCAATATGATGTGTCACGTAACCCCTGTATAAACTACTGCCTGCCTGTTAGTGATTCAAAGAATAGTACGCGGTTTATCCCGGTGTGGCTGATAGATGCCGGCCCCACTATTCATTTTAACTTTCTGTCTACGTGTCTGAAGTTTCATATAGACAGATTGACTCCAAGTTAGTGCTAGCTTTCTGAGAAATTTAAAACCAACATTTATTACTTTGTTTTGAGGGAGCCCACTTATCACGGAGGCCACTGGTGTAAGCCAAAACTTAAGACCTTAATTTGTTTAGTGCAAGGTGTGGCGTAAACACTTGTTTATTTTTAAGCTACCTCGTTCATTTCAGTTGGGTCTTATTTCTAAAAAGAATTACAAACAAAACGCAAATTTGTTGCTCAGAAAGCCTTTTCCGGCTACTGTCTGTATCGTTTTGGTGCCTGAGTACTCTCTTTACCGGATTTGGATACTTCATGTGACTCAATTGAGAAAAAAAGTCTTCTATGTTGTTCAAACCCCCACCAGGGCTACACATTTTACTCGATTGTATCAGCTGTGTACTATGTGCTATTTGTAAATAGGTTTCTTAGCTACAACTCCATTATATGACACAAACGTATTTTGTTATCTTATTCCAAAGATTTATGAGATGGGGTCCAATGCAAAGCTCCTGTTGGAAAGGTCGAACCCGGATGACGATATGGGTTATATAGTCGAAAATGACCTAATTATCTCCTCTTTGGAGGCTGTCGTCGACGAGGCTGTCAAACACTCAGATACAAAGGATTATCCCGGTTCTATGGAAGTGATGCATAACACAGTGGTAGAAGATATTCAACTGCCGAAATCCTATGATGCCGTTAATATGCCACGCCTCCTAGTGCGTGATCGTGCCGCTTCCTCCAAGGATGCTATCCCTATAGAAGCTTCGTTACTGGTGCGTGGGAATTTTTATCTGTTATCATTGTCTCGCCACCATAATTTTGGCCAGCGATGAGCCTTCTTCTACCACATTAAAATTTTACTGCATTCCTTTACAGGTTGGTGCAGATGGTTTTCGATCAGCCGTCAGGAATACTTCAGGTATCCACACAGTCGGATGGGAACATGATCAGACAGCCATTGTAGCCAACTTAAATTTGCCGGATGTATGTTCTCTAGCATTTCCTTCAGTAAAATACCTACATTCTTTCGTCTTCTCTTAAATTCCTCTAGACTATATTCTTAAAATTGATTGCTAGTCAGTTGTCATTGTTGATCTTATGTAATTCAGTTAGATGTCGTCTGACTAGTAGCCTAAAGGTGTAAAGTTTGGACGTTGCTATACGAGTGAATATAATATTTCCAAAAAATACCTATTGTTTATCATACTAGTTTGCTTCTTCACTTACCTAATTCGTTTGTATTTCGTATTCCCATTGTCGCGGAACAGGATTTTTTTTCCGATGTCATTTTTATTTAGGATTACGATCCTACAATAGCCTGGCAGCGTTTTGTGGATACCGGTCCAATTGCTCTCTTGCCAGTAAGTCAAGTTTGTTTTTTTTATTTCCCGTGTTCGTTTCTGGATAGGCTTTGAAATTTTTATGGACAACAGCCACAGTAGTTTATTTTTATCATCTGATGTTAATCCTATCTTTTGGAGGGTATCAAGACTAGCTAGTTGCCATTTTTGTTTTACAAGCTGCTCAGGTCTTCCATTTCTTGCTGTTTAAAGTTTTGCATTTTAGGTTCGAAGTTCGGTTTAACTTTTATTAATTTCATAATAAGACTCATCTGTTTCCGTTTTATCACAGCTCGGTCCCAAAAAGTGTTCTACAACTTGGAGTACGACTAAGACCGAGGCAAAGCGTTTGATGGCTCTTGATGACAAGACATTTGTGAATGAATTAAATCGATCTCTGGTGAGTCTGTTGTATGTGGTCACTTGCGCAATTAAATTACCAGTGAAGAAAAGGGGACTGAAATGACCATTTCTAGCTTACTGACCGTCACCACCCAACCATACTCAACCCCTGATTTGGTAACCGCTGAGGTTTGAACCCGTAACTTGTTGATTAGAAGTCGAAGGTCCTGACCATTGAGCCACGGAATCGTCATTTTGTCCTGTTCAACTTCCTTTCCTTCGCAGACTTCTTTACATTAGCTTTTATGTTAAAACATCTACTCGTAACCTGCTAGTAGAACGTCACGTTCCCTTTCAGAATGAGCCGGCTCACCAGCCCTCTGGAATCGTAGCCTCCATAGCTGCTGCTGTCAAGTTGGCCATCCCTAAGTCCAGCGAATCCTTTACACCACCGAAGATCCTCAGTGTTGATCCTAATACTCGCGCGTGTTTTCCACTTCTTTTCCGTCACTCATCTTTCTACCACGCCCCTCGTGTAGCTCTACTAGGGTACGTCTTATTCTGCGGAAAAAAGGTTTCGCCCATTGACAGGGGACTCCTGAACCTTTTTACTTGCCTTTTTAGAGATGCTGCCCACAGGATCCTTCCATTGAGTGGTCAGGGTGCAAACATGGGTTTCGGAGACGCGGCTAGCCTGGCAAAACATCTTAATGAGGCTCTTAGTGAGGGTGCTGATATTGGTAAGTCCTCGTCGCTCATTCGAAGTTATCTTGTTTATCTATTTGTCAATACACTCTCTCTATTTATATCGCACAGAGTTGTGCTGCTAACTTAAAATGAGTCCTTATAAATTTACCTTATTTTATTTCAGCGTCTCCTCGATTTTTGCGAGCCTACACTTCAGATCGACAACGCTCTGTTGTTCCAATGGCAGCGTTTGTGGAATTTATTCAGGCTCTTTATTCTACGGACGCGAGCCTCGGACCTCTTGAAGCTCCTTCTGGATCGGTTTTGATGGGACTGAGACGTCTGTCCTCGACGTTGGGCATTTCTGACGCTGCATTGAGTATTCGGGGTCTCGGTATGGATCTGGTTGATTCCAATAATCTAGTAAAGGTACAATCAAACCCTTTTGCCTGTCTCTTAAGCTGACTTATTGGTAGTCTGCCAGATAAGACATTGCTTATGCTCGCGCCAGCACAAACTTGGAATGCCGAAACCATTCACACTGCTAGAGAGACTCTTTAAGACCCTCTGAGCGAAAGCGATGTGGCTATTTTCCGTATCCTCCTCCTCCTCCTTCTTCTCGTCATTTGCTTCTGT